GGAGCACCGGCTGGCTGGCCTTCACCTGACTGAGTAGTAGCTGGCTGACCTCTCCCTATCTGGCCTCCACCTCTAGGACGACCTCAACCAGTCTGCCCCTACCTCTAGACGAACCGGTGCTGAAATCATGGGATGCTAACCCTGCTGTACTGCCTTGCCCCGAAGCCTGGGGCAGTATCTCCTCATATGACCAATGTCTCCGCACTCAAAACAACCCCGCAGTGCGGTGACCTGATGCCTTGATGGCTGACCTTGATGGCCTGTAAACCCACTAGAAGAAGCATGGATAGCCGGTGGACGGTATGAACTCTCCGGCATAGCACTTAAATAGGAACTAGAAGAACCCTAGGGACCTGAATAACCATTGGAGGAACCTAGAATAGATGGCGTGCGATAAGAACTCTCTGGCATGGTGCTAAAATAGGGGTGCACTGGAGCACCCCGAGTAGGTGGTGGTGCTGAATATGGGGTCTGCTGGGCTGATCCCTCCCAAACTGACCTCTACCCCTAGCCGGGGAACCTTTAAACTCTCCGGAGAATCTAGCCCTCTTATCCTGCTGCATCTTCTCCTTATCCCTCAGACGATAGCCCTCAATCCTCTGAGCAATCTCGACTACTAGCTAATAAGGAGTCCCTATCTCCACCTCTTAGTCCATGTTGGCCCAGATGCTAGAATGCAACCCTGCAACGAACCTCTGCACCCTCTCTGCATTAGTAGGAAGTATCATCAATGCATGGCGGGATAACTTAGAAAACTTTGCCTTATAGTCGGTCACGGACTTCTGACCCTGCTCAAGCTGCTCAAACTGATACCGCAGCTCTTCCCTCTCAGAGGGTGGGATATACCTATCCAAGAATAACTGTGTGAACTGACCCCAAGTGATGGGAGGAGAACCTGCTGGCCTGCCAAGAACATAGGACTGCCATTATCTACGGGCCTTGCCCTCTAGCTGAAAAGTAGTGAAGTTAACCCCATGCGACTCCTATATCCTCATGTTAAGCAGTCTGTCCCTGCACCTATCAATGAAATCCTGGGCATTCTCATGACACTCACCCCGAAGACAGGAGGGTGAAGTCTAGTCCATCTATCCAATAACTTCTGTGGGTCACCATCCATAGCTGGTCTAGGCTTGGGCACCATTGCAGCAACTAGCTAAGTCTCATCCGCGGGTAGTGCACCCAGAGTCTGATATACTGCAGCTGCGTGACCAGGAGCCTGAGCAGTAGGAGTCTGTGCTCCCCCTCCTACCTGTGATGTAGCTAGATCTGCTGGAAATAAACCAGCCCGAGTCATGGTGTCCATGAACCATATCATACGACCTATGACCTCCTGGAAACCCGGTGCTGTCATAAAATCCGCCAGGCTAGGCTCAGCTACGGGCGCCTCTCCCTGCTCCTCAATGATAGCATCTCCCACAGGATCTACTGGTGGTGCTACTAGGACAACTCTGGGGCACCCTCATCCCCTACCTCGGGCCGGTGCCCTCCCTCGGCCTCTACCTTGGCCTCTAGCAATGGGGAGAGCAGCTCCTCCCGGGTCTGAACATCAGCCGTGCGTGTCCTCACCATCTGTGAGAGAATAGAAGAGAGAAATTTAGTATACCAACCACTGCATGATAGGAAATTAATAAAGAGTAGTTTTCCTAACACCCTATAGCCTCTCGAAGATAAATACAGACGTCTCCGTACCGATCCACAAGACTCTATTAGGTTTGCCCATGACTTGTGAGACCTACGTGAACCTAGTGCTCTGATACCATGTTGTCACGACCCATTTTTATTATAGGTCATGATGGCGCCCAACACCATTGTCAGGCAAGCCAATGCAGAAATGTAAATAAGTGCTCACTTTTCTCTACCAAAAACAAGTACTACAATTTCTAAACTGGAAGTTAAACAAGTGATAATCAGTAATGTACCCAAAATAATTATACAGTTCCTAAAAGAATAGTCTACTAATGTGTGTGCCAAGACCTGGTGTCACAAGTTGTGGGCAACTAGCAGAATATACAAAAGAATAAATCTATCCTACTGTCCGAAATAGAATAGACAACAAAAATAAAGGGTGACTCCATCAAGTTGCAGAACGGCGCTGGAAGGGAGCAGCTCACCGTGGAAGTCTCGGACTATGATCAGGGATGCACACCGGATTGATAGCTAGATGTATCTGCATTAAATCCTGTATAATTAAGTATATAAGCATAGTATGAGTACATAAACAATATGTACTCAGTAAGTATCCTGTCTAATCTCGAAGAAGTAGAGACTAGAGGTCAACTTGATACTTACTAGGGTCAAATAATATAATAAAGTATTATTCTAAGCATGGAAGTCACAAGTAATTAACAGTTTGTAGCAAGAAGTAATAAGTCATCGCCTTAATAATATCACAGTTAGCCATTTACATTTCAAAACATTTAACAAAGCAAGTAATGAATAAGATTTCACATAGATATCATGCCCAAATTATGCCGAGGTAGACGGTCCGATCCAACAGAAAAGAAACTATGCACTGCCAGAGGGTCGAATGGTGCGAACCATAGATGTATCTATTTCTACCGAGGCGATCAGCCCGATCCACAAATATAGATTTTCATCAAGAAAATACATGAAGGCGCAATGTTCAGATAAATTAATACAAGTGTTCAACAAGTACATACGTTCACTTATGTTCATTCCAACTCTCTAGCATATCCTAAGTGATCACATTAGCAAGAAAATATATAGACATTCGCAAATATGGCATGATACGGGTCCTAAACTACCCGGACAATTAACATAATAGTAACTACGCACGGATTCTCATCACCTAGTGCGTACGTAGCCCCAACATTTAGTGGAAAATTATTCAATTATTACACCTATAGGGACAATTCCCTCTTACAAGGTTAGAAAAGAGACTTACCTCGCTCAAAAGTGTACTTCCAATACCAAGAACGTGCTCAAACTCTCAATTTGGAGGAGAACGATCCAAAACTAATTAAACGAGGTAGGAACTAGTCAATACAAGTTCACAATATCGCATTCTAACTATTAAAGCAATTTTCCAACCTTAAACACAAGTTTCCTAAAATCCGACCTCGGGCCCACGTGCCCGGATTCCGAAATATTGTTCTTTATGACCTAAGGATCGATAATATATGATTTCTAATTCATTTCATAATAAATTTCGTGGTTACATCTAACTTTTATCAAAACCCTAGGTTTTGCTCTAACCCCATAATTTTTTCTTAATCTTTGTGTGTTAATCTACCCAAGACTCAAGTATTAAAGTAGAAATAGGTAGGATAAACTTACCTCAAGATGCTAGGTGAAAGTTCTCTCTCAAGAGCTCCAAAATCGCCCAATGGGTGAGTGAAAAATGGCCAAAATGGCTTAGAGCCCGTATTAAATGAAGTTCACTACTTCAGTAATTTCTGCATCTGCCTTCAGGGGACCGCATCTGCGATCCCGCTTCTGTGAGAGAAAGGCCGCATATGCGGAATTGGCCAAGCAAACTGGGACCGCTTCTGCGGTCTTGAAGCCGCTTCTGTGGCTTTGGCTTGGCCTGCCTTGGCCGCATCTGCGAGAGGACGACCGCTTCTGTGGTCTCGCACTTGCGGCTGACTGACCGCAGATGCGGTTATGACAGCAACCTGAAGCTTCAGCTCTTCCCAAATTTTCCAACTTCACTCGAGCCTTGTTCGATTGACACTCGGGGCTCCCGGGCCCCACCCGAACATACCGACAAGTTTGAAATAATGAAACGGACCCGCTCGAACCTTCGGAACGTCCGAAACAGCGCTAAATCTAAGAATCACCCCCTAAAACCAATTGAATCAAACTTATGAACTTCAAGTTCTCCAATTCACTTCTAACGCGCCGAAACGTGCTTATACTATTTGGATTGACACTGGGCAAGTCTTAAATGTTATATTGGACCTGTAACGGGCTACGAAACCAACATACGAGCCCGATACCAACGTGATCAATCATTATTTAGTTTCTTTAAATCCTTAGAATTTCAGTTTAACAATTTCTAATAAAAATTCATTACTCGGGCTAGGGACCTCGGAATTCAATTCCGGGCATACACCCATGTTCCCTATTTTTCTACGGACCATCCAGGACCGTCAAAATACAAATCCGAGTCCGTTTGCTAAAAAAGTTGACCAAAGTCAAACTTAGCCTTTTAAGAAAATCTTAAGGAGTCAAGTGAGCCTATTTCAACCCAAACTCTTCTAAATCCCGAACCAACCATCCTCGCAGGTTGTAAATTAGTTAAAACAAGCGCGGGAAGTTTTATTTAGGAGGATGGAGTTCTAAAAAGCAAAACGACCAGTCGGGTCGTTACAAGAAAGGGGAATGAATTCTCAAGACAACGAAATTTTTTAGCTTCAATTTCATTGACAAAACCTCTTTGAATTGAGAAATTTATCATTTACTAATTCCTTTTTATTGAAAATAGAAAATAACTGATATTACAAACTCTAGTGCCTCGACAAACTTTCTTTCAATCTAAGAAATTTCACACCCATTAGAGATCAAAATAGGAAGAAGTGAGCAAAAAAATAGAAACTCATAATAATGCACAAAAATAACATATTAACAAATCACCTTAAAAACAAATAAACAGTAAAATTACAACCACATATAACCTATTGCACTTATTTCTAGTTTGCAAAAATAGCATAGTCATGTATCAAAAGTAACAATGTTCTAGGCCAAAAAATAAATTAAAATTAGAAACAAAGAATCCAAAAGGAATTAACCTGTCGGTGGGGAGGTAGTCATTATATAGTATGCATTACCTATCGCATGACGGATACGGAATTATCGAAGAGGACTTTTAGGTGCCATATCTATGCTAGCGTTTGGCTATAGATCCCAAATTTATTTTGAAAAATATGATTTGGGTGAAGTTTGGTTTGAAGATGAAAATGTGTTTGGACATGTTTTTTCAGAACATATTTCACTTTTTATTTAAAAAAACATGAAACATTAACTTATACCCACAAGTTCTAAAAACTATAAAAAATACCCAACAGTACTAAACAAATAAACTTGCTATCTTGTATATACAGAACCTTCATCAATAACAATCATTATCATTATCACAAACCATATTCCTGAACAACGTGGACCTCTGGTGGTTGAACCATTAAACCCGTGCTTCCTCGCATCATCATGTAGGACATTTATGAGGATCGATGTTTCATCATCCGTCCATTTACCAGCAGCACCACCACGTGGTTTATCAATTGAACTACGTGGTTTATTCATTCTTTTACGTTTCTACAATACAACAATAATAGGACAACATATCACATGTCTAACTTCATTTTCTTAGTGCATAAAATCCAAAAGCATGTCTTAAACTATATGGAAGGCATACTAGCACAAGCAGAAGGATTAAAATTTAAAGTATGTTACCCTATTAACCGGTCGAGGTAGAGCCATAGAATTCTCGTCGGAAATCTCAAAACCAGCTTCAGGTATTATGGGCATTACAAAACTTTAAAAGCAAGGCCAAAACGTTAGCTGCATCAGCCGAATGATACAAAAAAATAAAGCATAAAGATGCTATACAAAAGGGAAAGAAATTGTTTTTTGAGTTGTGTCCACTTCCAAAAATCCAAATTGCATAACGACATAAGTATCTGGGCTGAAAAGAGTAACTTTTCCAGCCAACCCAAGACCCCAATTTCAACCAAACACAACCGAAAAAAAGAGACAGAGAGAAATCTATCATCATCACAAGCAAAGATTAATCAATGTAGGAGATGAGAGACTCCTGCATATACATGGGAGGGTTTACAAAATTGAAGAAAAACTCATACAAATCAAGCAAAACAAATCCGAAGAAAATTAAAACAAAACTAGCGAAACAAATCGAAGAAAATTTATACAAATCTGCAGAAAATTTAAATAAGTATTAGCATATTTTAGCAAATTACTTTCAAATTTCTTATTTGCGGTGGATTGCAAACGATTGGCACAAAGAATTTGCAGTGGAGTTCTCTTCTGTTTATAGAGGGCAAAGCAGATGCATGGGTTTAATGAGGGCAAAACAGATGCGTGAGTTTAATGAGAGGCAAGTGAGCATGATTTAGCTGTGCTTAATAAATGTGGGCTCTTTTATAAAATATAAAAGTTTGGGGTAATATTGAGAATTTTAAAAAAATATAACGGTCATATTTTGGCCCAAAATCAGCTTATTAGCTGATTTTGGGATTTGAAATATGGGATTTGCGTTTTGGCCAAAATGTGGGAAAATTTATGGCCAAACATGGGTTTTGAAAATAAATTTCAAATTTATTTTGGGAAAATGTATGGCCAAACGGGGCCTATATATTTGTTGTAAGCCCATAGCTAAATTACTGTAATATGATAAACAGTGTCACAATTGTAAAAATTTCACGGGGCGCCCTATTTGGTCGCCTCTATTTAACCTATACCCATTTTATTTTAAAAAGTTTTAACTTGTACCCACTTTTTAAACAACTCCAGCCCCCTTTCTCCTCCTCCTCCTCCTCCCTCGTTTTCTTCTTCTTCTTCTTCTTCTTCTTCTTCTTCTTCTTCTTCTTCTTCTTCTTCTTATTCTTCTTCTTCTTATTCTTCTTTAGTTCATGGGATGATTGCCATAAGTATGTTTATCAGATTATTTAAAAATAAATTATAAATAATTACGTAAGTTAGTAGACAATAATTTGTGAATATTTCCACATAATTATGTTCTTTTCACGTTTATTGTTTCCAAAATTTATGATTTTAGATACTGTTGACAATCTGATTATTTTATAGTAGTAATACACTATGAAAGAATAAGGTGATTATTTATCTAGTATGTTAGAAAGCTTTTTAAAAAACTTCAGCTTATATAGTGCTGAAGTTTTTACAAATGAACTAAATAACTTCAGCATCTTCTGGTGAAGTTTTTGAAAATGTTTTATGATAAAACTAATGAATCCAGGACAAAAAAAACTTCAGCTTATATAGTGCTAAAGCTTTTACAAATTGAACTAAATAACTTCAGCATCTTCTGCTGAAGTTTTTGAAAAAGCTTATCCAGGACAAAAAAAACTTCAGCTTATTTAGTGCTGAAATTTTTACAAATGAACTAAATAACTTCAGCATCTTCTGTTAAAATTTTTGAAAAACTTTATGACAAAACTAATGAATCCAGGACAAAAAAAACTTTAGCTATTTTAGTGCTGAAGTTTTTACAAATTGTCACGACCCAAAACCCGGACCCGGTCGTGATGATCTCGTGAAGACGTGAATAGCTAGTCATAAGATGAACGAGTGACAATATAATTTCTATTACTAATAAAGATATTAAAAGAGAAGAAGAGAAAAAAAGGTAAAGAGTATAACTAAATCTCTTAATTGAAGACACTAATAATGGATTGGGAGCCTTTTAAGGTGGAATGTATATATTTTGTAAACAAAACTTGTGTAGGTAGGGTAATTTAGTAAACATGAACATTTAGGGTAATAAAGTTTCCAATAATGTATAAGAATGAAGAAATCTCATATATAAACCTAAAACTACTAAAAAGTGTGGCCTTCAAATTTATGTGGCCTAAAGCCCATGCTTTACCTGCCTTGGAGTTCAGCCGCCTCTGAAACAAGTCAAGAGGATTACTGCTGGACCAGTGAAGACTTTGCTGCAATGGGCTTGAATATTCTTAAAGAGAGCGAGATATCCGCGCCTCAGCCTTAAAATATTTTATTTTCTTCATTTTATTTTTCTAACTATAATTGTATTTTCACCAACACTAAGCTTTGTAGCACGTCAATGGCAATCCTTGGCGCAATTTTAACAGTATATGTCGAGTTTCAGCTTCTTTTTTTTTTCTTTCACAATTTGGAAATAATAATTAAGGGAACTAGATATACAACTAAAAACTCTAAGCCAGACGTCCACCTCCAATAGTCAGAATTTTTATAGCCCATCCTTTATTGCCTAAATCAGATATTTCAATTCGTTAAGAGTAGTTAATTAAAGCGATAACTGATCAGCTAAAACCGATAACTAATAAACCATACTGATAATTATAAATACTGAACCGAACCGTCAACAACATCCCTATTTAATTAGGAAGAGTAAGAATAATGTTCATGCTATTTCTTGAACTTTATAACCTGTATTGGTCAAAATTTGACCACCACGACTAGGTTGCCCGACACCTCGCCTCGGTAACTGAGTAGTGAAAGTCAATAGAACCCACTCCATTTCTCCTCTGTGTCATTCGACGAATCGAAAAGAGTAACGCCTAAAATCACGATCAGGACACATTAGTGACAAGAAAGCGTCGAGTCAAGCAAAGGGTAAAAAAGCCTCGACTATATATAGCCAAAGAAAGCTCTCAATTCAGGGGGGCTTCTCTATTCTCTCAAAGAAAAGGATGGCAAAAAGCTCCTTCCTTATATCTTCAAGAAAACGAGGAAATAACCTCGAGGAATATATGTAAATTTACTTCCTCATCAATTGATGAGAAAGATGATGCTGAATCTAAATAAGATCGATCATGCCTTTTTCGTCTCATATGTAATCATTATTGTTAACTTTTTGATCCGAAATTAATTATGTTTGACTAAGATTTACCCCTTCATCTTTAATTGATTTGTTCAAAAAGGTTTTGATATCTTTTGAGGCAAACAATTTGGCGCCGTTTGTGGGGATTTCTTAGTGAAAATTTCCTAGTTTCTCTCAGATCGAAACAAAGAAATACAATCACTCACCAAAAGGAGCGCGGAGGAAAAACCCAACCCACGCGAGACTCAAAAGCAGTGCAGAAGAGGAAGAAGAGCCAAGCAAGATCACCGGGCTCGGAAATCTTCGCCCCATCAACCGTCAATATACTAAACAAAGCAAACGATGTTACCAACCTATATTCTCCCACCTGATCACCGGATAGGAGCGAAGGAAATCTCATCCTCACCTCCCAATCTTTGTCCGGGAAAGCACATAAGACCCGCGTGGACAAGCGTACACTGGAACATCTCGACTGAAGGACAAAAATTGCTTCAACACAGCTGAAATACCTCCTGCCGGCAACATCTACGAGCTGGACGGTAGGAGTCAGACAAGAAAACCATGAGGCGTACATAGTACGAACCTTAACGAAACATCAACACCTCGCATTCACCAGCGTTATACCATCTGGTGCGCAATGCCAAATGGACTAGGACTCCTACGAAAGATGACCAACTCTCCAGAAACCGGGACGGACGATGGGCTGTTATTTCGTTAAGTTCAAAATAACACCCTATAAAGCTAAGAGACTTCGCCAAGAGAAGAAGAGTTCGACCTCGCTCGAACGACGACGAGCTGTTATTTCGATAAGTTCAAAATAACACCCTTTAAGACTAAGAGCCTTCGCCAAAAGAGAAGAAGAGTTCAACCTCGCTCGAACGACGACGGGTTGTTATTACGATAAGTTCGAAATAACATCCTTTAAGGCTAAGAGCCTTCGCCAAATGAAAAGAAGAGTTCGTCCTCGCTCAAACGACGACAGACTGTTATTTCGATAAGTTCGAAATAACACCCTTTAACGCTCAGAGCATTCGCCAAAAGAAGAAGAGTTCGACCTCGCTCGAACAACGACGGGTTGTTATTTCGATAAGTTTGAAATAACACCCTTTAAGGCTAAGAGCCTCCGCCAAATGAAAAGAAGAGTTCGACCTCGCTCGAACGACGACAGGCTATTATTTCGATAAGTTCAAAATATCACCCTCTAAGGATAAGAGCCTCTGCCAAATGAAAAGAAGAGTTCGACCTCGCTCGAACGACGACAGGCTATTATTTCGATAAGTTCAAAATATCACCCTCTAAGGATAAGAGCCTCTGCCAAATGAAAAGAAGAGTTCGACCTCGCTCGAACGACGACAGGCTATTATTTCGATAAGTTCAAAATATCACCCTCTAAGGATAAGAGCCTCTGCCAAATGAAAAGAAGAGTTCGACCTCGCTCGAACGACGACAGGCTATTATTTCGATAAGTTCAAAATATCACCCTCTAAGGATAAGAGCCTCTGCCAAATGAAAAGAAGAGTTCGACCTCGCTCGAACGACGACAGGCTATTATTTCGATAAGTTCAAAATATCACCCTCTAAGGATAAGAGCCTCTGCCAAATGAAAAGAAGAGTTCGACCTCGCTCGAACGACGACAGGCTATTATTTCGATAAGTTCAAAATATCACCCTCTAAGGATAAGAGCCTCTGCCAAATGAAAAGAAGAGTTCGACCTCGCTCGAACGACGACAGGCTATTATTTCGATAAGTTCAAAATATCACCCTCTAAGGATAAGAGCCTCTGCCAAATGAAAAGAAGAGTTCGACCTCGCTCGAACGACGACAGGCTATTATTTCGATAAGTTCAAAATATCACCCTCTAAGGATAAGAGCCTCTGCCAAATGAAAAGAAGAGTTCGACCTCGCTCGAACGACGACAGGCTATTATTTCGATAAGTTCAAAATATCACCCTCTAAGGATAAGAGCCTCTGCCAAATGAAAAGAAGAGTTCGACCTCGCTCGAACGACGACAGGCTATTATTTCGATAAGTTCAAAATATCACCCTCTAAGGATAAGAGCCTCTGCCAAATGAAAAGAAGAGTTCGACCTCGCTCGAACGACGACAGGCTATTATTTCGATAAGTTCAAAATATCACCCTCTAAGGATAAGAGCCTCTGCCAAATGAAAAGAAGAGTTCGACCTCGCTCGAACGACGACAGGCTATTATTTCGATAAGTTCAAAATATCACCCTCTAAGGATAAGAGCCTCTGCCAAATGAAAAGAAGAGTTCGACCTCGCTCGAACGACGACAGGCTATTATTTCGATAAGTTCAAAATATCACCCTCTAAGGATAAGAGCCTCTGCCAAATGAAAAGAAGAGTTCGACCTCGCTCGAACGACGACAGGCTATTATTTCGATAAGTTCAAAATATCACCCTCTAAGG